GTTTAAGCCACGCTTAGTAATTTGCAATATCATATTTGGGTGAAGGTTGTTCGGCCAAAAAATGAATTCTTTTTCTCATGTTCCCGTTTCAGCATCTGATTGTCTAAAGCTCACAAAACAATTTATTCTCCTTTCTTACACATTTTAGAAGGTGTTAAATCTAGCAATTGTCAAATTCCTTATTGAAATGATGTAGTTTATGATTAAATATAGGATCCAGGTTACTTGAGTATGTGTTTAGATGTACTTTATATCCATCGAGCAACAATAGTAGGAATTATTTTCATTTGGAAAAAAAAAGAAAAAAAAAAACAAAAAGAAATGACCCCAAATCTTTTCAGGTTATTATATGTAGGTAGCATCAGCGATCAATGTTCAATCTCTGTTCAAGTTACGTTTCATTTCGCATACATACACTTGGAAACGGCATGAATCCATGTCGTTTAACTCGCTCTTTGTATGGCAGCCACTCTAGGAGAAGGAAGACTTTGAATTTAAAGACCTTGGAAAAGACAACTGGAAGATATACCACTATCTTTTCAACGAAATCAAAAGATAATAAAGAAAATATATTTTCTATGGACTCGCTAGTCACATTAAATGCCAGGAAAGTGACGTCACTGAGCGGGCTCTGAATTTTCGTCTATCGCGATGAAAGGGTGTTCTCCCAGGGATGCCTCGTGTCTTTGAAAAATGGTCAGTTCTGTGTGTCGCTCCAGTATGTACCTGGTACCTCTCCTCTACCTTTACAAAAAAACAGATCAGGCCGAAAATGGATTACTGCTGCTATATATGGGCAGGAGCTACTCAGTCTTCACTTTCCAGTCTCTGTAGACTTCAAAAGCCTCTCCACAAATCCTCTGCCTTTACAAGAACCAGATCAGGCCGAAAATGGATTACTGCTGCTATATATGGGCAGGAGGTACCCAGTATTCACTTTCCAGTCTCTGTAGACTTCAAAAGCCTCTCCCCAAATCCTCTGCCTTTACAAGAACCAGATCAGGCCGAAAATGGATTACTGCTGCTAAATATGGGCAGGAGGTACCCAGTCTTCACTTTCCAGTCTCTGTAGACTTCAAAAGCCTCTCCCCAAATCTTCTGCCTTTACAAGAACCAGATCAGGTCGAAAATGGAGTACTGCTGCTATATATGGGCAGGAGGTACCCAGTCTTCACTTTCCAGTCTCTGTAGAGTTCAAAAGCCTCTCCCCAAATCCTCTGCCTTTACAAGAACCAGATCAGGCCGAAAATGGATTACTGCTGCTAAATATGGGCAGGAGGTACCCAGTCTTCACTTTCCAGTCTCTGTAGAGTTCAAAAGCCTCTCCCCAAATCCTCTGCCTTTACAAGAACCAGATCAAGTCGAAAATGGATTACTGCTGCTATATATGGGCAGGAGGTACCCAGTCTTCACTTTCCAGTCTCTGTAGAGTTCAAAAGCGTTTACGCAGCCATGTGTGTGAGGGATTATATTCCACTCTATAAACCTTTTCCCACAGACGAAACTTTACAAAACTCTTGCTACTCTGTCGTTCGCTCTATGGAAATTGTTCACATGGACTACATTCCTTAGTCCTTGGTATGACGATAAACTACATCCAGCAGCAAGGCTTCTGATCGGGACATTCGATGTTTTTAAGAGCGTGGAACCACGTCTTAATTGCTGTTGCTACCAAGCCCATCCTGACCCGGGGTTGTAACATCTGTTAGGGTCCCATCTATTGTGAAACCCTAAAGAAAACCAAAATACTATGAAAGCATAAAAATACATTTTATATTAAATATACTCGTAATTCATTTTTATTTAAAAAACAGTACCAACAATACATATTCATAGTAGAATTAACAACGATACATTTTATCTATAGTTGAAGCTTTACAATTTTTGTGACGTACAGTGACCGTTAATAATTAAGTATATGTCCATACCTCAATGTAAAAATAAAACAGTATTTAATTACAACCACATATAAATAAACAAGAACAAACAAGTAAAAGTCAACCAAAGATAATTAACCATTTCAGTGAATATCTTATTTGTAGCACGGCTCGTTTTAACGTTCGGTAAATCCTAAATCAAAACCCAAATCACCGACACACAATAATTCACACTAATTCGACTGGATAGTTCCACTTAATAGTCACTCAATAATCACTGCAGTCAGTAGCCTGACACCGCTATTTCTACACCTGGCGGAAAACATATATTTATAAGTCCAGAGTGTCACACTCAAACCTCAGAGTCGGTAGTTATTCATTTTCTTCCTATGTGATACAATTGTATTTACTTGGAACCATAAAATTGTTTAAAATATTTATATTTCGGCATTTAATAACCCATGGAAGTGTTGATATGTCGCTAAACTAAATCAAACAACCAACTTGAAAGAACTCTTTCGTGATATTTGTCCATGTAACATCCTACAATTTCTTAAAGAAATCACACTGTATTCGAAAATAAAGGGTGGTTCATTAAGACAGATTATATATAAGGGTGTTTCATTAAGAGGGATCAAAGTCAGCAGTAAATAAATCAGTGTTGTTCGTGAAAATTTATTTACTTCTCTGTTGGATCATGTTATTTAAGTCATGGAAATTGTGCGTGAAAAATAATACTACCCAAATGTGCGCCAATTCTGAAAAAAAAAAAGGAAAAATATCATTAGACGCTTAAACTTAATTCACATTTAAAATCGGAACAAGTTATTGGAACACACTTTATAGTTTCAAGAAAACTATATCATATCACTGTTTATAATAATAGTGTCTAAACATGTATATTTTACTAACAGAAGCTGAGTATCATCTACCATGTATTAAATTGTGAAAGCAGAATAACATATCATATTTTTATTACTTCAAAACTCAACATAATTACATTTCGGCATTAAATGACCCATAAAGAGTTGATGTGCCATTTAAACAAACAAATCAAAGCACATCAACTACATTCGTTCGTTCCACCTTTTCTAACCTTCACGGCAAAGACCCGCCATCCAACGCACATTGGAGCGAACCGCCCCCACATTTGTAATTTGCTAATCCAGCAACGACTTACCACTAACTGCTGCTTTGTAGAACTGATTTCGAAGAGGATTCTTCTACGATCACGACAATCTTAAACTGTTCAATTCTAACGTTAAGCGTAATCCTCCCCACATATCCGCATAATCTGTAACCCTCTACCTCGAGTGGCTCTTTGTACAGGCTGAAAATTATTGTAAAAAAAAACAAAAAGGGGAAGTGAACTGATTCTTAGAATCATTTCCCCTCCTTATCTTGTCGCTCTCTGCGACCATTGAATGAGTCCTTGTGAATAACATATCATCTAATTCTGCTCTCTGCTTATTTTATAAGCTAGACCGTAATACTGGCTAGTTTGGCTCTAAATGATTCGACCTAATAAGCACGACTTAATAATAATATTTTTTTTAATTCAAGAAACGCAATTTGAATTCATTTAAATTCGCTAGGGCGCCATTACTAATTCCATTCTTGGAGACGTTAATGTAGAAACTGTATTATGTGAAAAAAGAAACAAACAAAAAACAAAATAAAAATAAATAAATACAAAAAAAGTGAATTTTATCGTTGCCGAAAGGCAAATAATGAAAAGTTCTTGAGTGAAAATTATTTTTGGTCAAATTGTATGCATAACTATGGTACTCAAATCACAGAGTTATTTATCTCCCTACCTACTCGACTTTTTGACATTCTTCGTTCCACTTCAAGTTGGAACAATGCAGGAGGTACCAACTTAGCGTAGCTTAGATCTGGCAAAAGCTCGTAAGAAAGAAGCAACTGTGGACTCTTCCACAAGCTAATTAACCCCTGCTAGGAAATGCACAATTACTGTTATAATTTTCACCATCACAATCTTACAAATATATAACAAGTATTCATCGGTCAATCACCTTCAATCTACCTTGCTGATTGGTCAGTTCCGACCAATCAAACCGCCTGCACGTGACCAATCTGTTTTCCCGTTCATATGCTGGGAGCCTCCCACGTGATACACGACCATTATATAAACCCAACACGTGTAGCTCCCTGGAGTAGTTTCTTCCCATTCCTTGCTACCAAGTGCCAAGATGTAATGTTCAATAACTCCCGTCTTAACCATTGCAGTCAGACGTTAAAGACCATTACCAACATTCACGCAAGTACGAACTCTGAACTTTTACCAACTTTACAACTCACAATTCCAAACTTTATTCTTCTAAATTACAGTTTAATATTACTTCCTTTTAATATGAACTCAGGTACAACTATTACCTAATCAAAGGGACACGACTCTGTCCTACCTTTTCAGTTCGCATGCATGTATATCAAATATTAATAAATTCAATTGTTATGTTTTGAAATCATTCCGTTCAGTTTTGTATTTTATACTATATGCTATTTACGTCAAATATAAATTGCCTTACGTCCGCGCATTATCCTTAATCCCACCTTTCCTAGCCAAAGTTAAATATTGGTAACATTGTCACAACAATAATGGTAACTCCATAACTATAATAATGGCGACCCCGACGTTCGTCGTTCGTCGCTATCGCTACACAACTCACTACTCAGTCTTAATTGATCTAGCCGGACAAGCTTGCTAACCTAATCATCAAATACACGCTCAAGTAGTTTGGGTAATTTATTCAGCGTAGCTTAGGTGTGGCACAAGATCGAAAGTATGAAGCCACAAGTGCGGGTCGAACTCATTACTCTGCCGTAATTGATCTAGTAAGACAAGCTTGCTAACGATTACACAACGACTAAGAACTTCTTTTGATTGGTGGATTTAGAAAGTCCAGATTATTTATGGTATGAACAGAACGTATGATAATTTTTGTGTAATTGATCTTCGGGGAGGGTTCGTTATTGCTGAAAATGCGGAAAGCATTGTATTTTTTTTCACCCGAGCATATTTTGAAAATGAGAGAAAAGCGATCAAATTCGCTTTCTTTGTAATTTGAACGCGTTTCTCTTTTCCATTTTGTTTTATGTAAGTTTCTCGTCTCCTGTTTTCTGTCCATCGACCTCCGGCGTCTTTCTTCATTATTTATTGTTTCAGCACTGGAATGTTTTCTTTTCTTTGCCACTCATCAATTTGCGTGATGTACTTTCATTTCACTGGTAACATAATCTCGTAACATTTAGCAGAAGCCTCTGTGACGTCATTTCTTAATACTTTTCTTTCTTTCTTTGTTTTTAATGAAAGCAGCTATGGTATCGCTTCCATTCTTGATTAGTGTTAGGCGTGATCACACTTCCATTCAACAGATGTTCGGTTGTCATTACTTCCGGTCACATAAAAAAGCAAAAAACAAAACAAAACCATGACGTCATCTTGCGGTAATTCATTTTTACAGTCATCCATAGTGTTACTATGACTGATTGAATTTTTCAAAACTCGCATGATGTTACCAACGAGTCACCAGGAAAACTACCAAACAAGGTGAGGTCTTCGCCGCATTTTTTTTATTTACTTTTACGTCTTTTTTTTATTTATTTTTTTAAATTCAAAAAACGCAATTTACAATCATTTAAATTCGCTATGGCTCCATTACTAATTCCATTCTTGGAGACGTTACCGTGGAAACTGTATTGTGCAAAAAATAAACAAACAAACAAACAAAATAAAAAAATAAATAAAAAAGAAGCGAATTTTATCGTTGCTGAAAGCCAAATAGCGAAAAATATCGGAGTTAAATTTATTTTTGGACAAATTATATGCATAACTGACACTCAAAACACCAAGTTATCTATCTATCTATCTATCTATCTATCTATCTATCTATCTATCTATCTGAATCTTTCTTAATCATCAATCTATCTATCTATCTTTTATCTTTTTCTTTTCTTCTCATTCTTTTCTTTTCTTCCTTTCTTTCTTTCTTTCTTTCTTTCTTTCTTTTAATCATCCATCTATCTATCTATCTATCTATCTATCTATCTATCTATCTATCTATCTTAATTATTACTCTGTGCTCATATATTTCTTTCTTTCTTTTAATCATCCATCTGTGTCCATGTTCATATCTATCTATTTATCTATCTATCTATCTATCTATCTATCTATCTATCTATCTATATATATATATATATATATATATATATATATATATATATATATATATATATATATATATATATATATATATATATATATATATATATATATATAGACAGGTTTCTTAATAGATACAATAATAAAGATATGTGTTAAAATAAATGCAAATGAAATAAAGTCTTAACGAAGAAAGTCAATGGTTTTCAGAAGTCTTTTCTTTTCCTTTTTCATTTCGATCGATGCGTTCTGCGACCTTTTCAGTATTTTTTTTCAAAGTTCTGCGACAATTTGTTTAAGGTTTCACTTTTTATCTGAATGCCGACGACGTAGCGGCCGATGCGTTTCTCGTCATTTGTCAAGTGGCATCGATCATTAAATTCTACCTGAAGAGATAAATTTCAATTCAGATTTGAAACCTTTTAGTATACATGCTGGATATTGTATCACGCTCTATCAGTCTTTCGCTTTCCAATCTAATTCTTGATTCTGATCAAGGTGATTTCCAAAGTTTGCTTTCTCGGTGTGTCAGTAGAAATAAATTATTTACATTATTCGGACTATTGTCTTCATCTTTGTCGCCATATTTATTACAACGTTTCGGACGTTGTACGCTCCGACCTTCTTCAGTTAGTTGGAATGTCGAACTGAACCCTTTATTTCGCTCACTGGAGTAGACTGTTCTAGTTCCACGTGCCATGTTTAATAGATGTCAGTTATCAGTTATCTCTTGTTAATTCCCCGCTGAAAGTTCTCCACTGCTTTAAGCGGGTATTGAACTCACACTCTTTGGGTCCTCTCACTGGATCTAACTAACGCCTTTATCCACTGTCCTCAAGGACACATGGCACAGTGGATAAAGGTGTTATTTAGGTCCAGTGACAGGACCCAAAGAGTGTAAGCATGAGGACAAAGATGAGTACAATAGTCCGAATGATATAAATTGTGAGCAGAGAATTTCATCGCTGCATTGAAATCTGTCTATATTTCTGAGATGAAGCATTGTAATTGTGGTACTAGAACAATCTACCCCGATAGACGAAATAAAGAGTTCATTTCGACATTCCAACCACCTGAAGAAGGCTGGAGCGTACAACGGCCGAAACGTTGTAATAAATATGGCGACAAAGATTGGGACAATAGCCCGAATAATGTAAATAGTGTCCATTATCATTTGTTTATACATATATATCGGTTCTTGTTGCTTCTTTACATTATTTATTTCTTTGTACTCCCAGTCCGCCATGTTTGTTGTGGGCATTTCAGGAGACTTGCGTGTACACCGGCCCGCAATAATGTTATAGAAGAGGCGAAAAATACTGGATTACTCTCAGTGGCTACCACCGGATACAACTGAACAAGTTGATGAACATTTTTTATAGAATCATTGTTCTAAAAACAACACAAGCGTGGATATACGTTTGTATAAGCAAAATAAGAAATCGACTATTCGATTATCGAAGAGAAGCAGGAAAGTAAAAACTTTCTTGTTGAGCTTCATTTAGCTTCTTTTTTTTTTTAACGATTTAACTAAACTCGTCGACCTGTGTCAGTCATTTCTTCCCACGCAATCTTTTCAATCATTATCTCCCTTTTGTTTTAATTTTAATTTCTCATGTCTGCTTCTCATCACGAAGCAAACATGAATTAATTATCAAACAGCAGATTTATTCTCTTTTATTCTCTTTTTTTCGTCAAAAAATTTTTTTTTTCTTCAATTTTATTCTCGGAATTGTACTGAATGAGGTGCATGCATAAAAGAATGAATATCTGTCTATATTTCTGAGATGAGGTATTATGTACACTATTCAGAATAGTGTCCTCATCTTTGTTGCCATATTTATTACAACGTTTCGGCCTTTCAGTATCTCTATATTTCTGAGATGAGGCATTATGTAAACTATTTACATTATTCAGACTATTGTCCTCATCTTTGTCGCCATATTTATTGCAACGTTTCGGCCGTTGTACGCTCCGGCCTTAGGTTTATAATACCCAGAAATTCGTACACAGACGTCCTCATGGACACATGACACAGTGGATAAAGGTGTTAGTTAGATCCAGTGACACGACCCAAAGAGTGTTAGTTCAATATCTGGTTAAGGCAGTGGAGAACTTGGAGAGGGAAATTAAGAGGAGATAACTGATAACTGACATCCATTAAAACATGGCACGTGGAACTAGAACAGTCTACCCTGGTGAGCGAAATAAAAGGTTCAGTTCGACATTGCAACCACCTGAAGAAGGCCGCAGCGTACCAAGGCCGAAACCTTGTAATAAATATGGCGACAAAGATGAGGACAATAGTCTGAATAATGTAAATAGTGTACATAATACCTCATCTCAGAAATATAGACAGATACTGAATAGCCGAAACGTTGTAATAAATATGGCGACAAAGATGAGGACAATAGTCTGAATAATGTAAATAAAAGAATGAAATTCGGTAATAGTGTAAAATGAAATGATAATATAAACGAAAATTATAAGCAAAATTATTCATCCAATAACCTACTATCTATTTGGGATGTACTCGTCATATTTTAACAAACCGATATAAATCTTTTCGAATATATACTCTGGAGAACCTATTATGGCACAAGACCAAATTAGAGGAAATACAATTTTCAAGAATAACTTAAGGTAGAGGGTTATTGTCAAAATGGTTATAAAGAATGAGGCATGTGTTGTAACCTCGGAAGTGCTACTGTATCAGGCATGACCAAAATGGAAGTTGGAAATGAAATGGTAATCTTTATAACATCAACAAAATGCAATACTCGTCAGCGGCGTGAAATAGGTAAACCACTGCTAGTGGTGAACGACTTACACAGCATATTACCTCCACATACAATAGTGTTCAACGTATTTATGAAGAGTGGACATTAGTCTTCATAGGTATGGTACATAACACTATCTATCTATCTATCTATCTATCTATCTATCTATCTATCTATCTCTTGTAAGCTAGAAAAGATTACTGAATGAGGAATAACTAAAACGGGGATTGGGAATAAAATGGTAAGCTTAATAACATCAATAAAATACAATACTCGCCAGCGGCGTGAAATAGGTAAACCACTGTTTGGTGAACTACTTACACAGTATATTACCTCCACTTACAATAGAGTCCAACGTATTTATGAGGAGTGGACATACCCATTAGTGTTCATAGGTACGGTATATAAGACAATGCCATTCAGCTCATTATCTATCTATCTATCTATCTATCTATCTATCTATCTATCTATCTCATTCTGTTCATTATCTATCTATCTATCTATCTATCTATCTGTTGTAACTTAGGAAAGGTTACTGAATAAAGAATAACCAAAATGGAGGTTTGAAATGAAAAAGTAATCTTTATACAATACTCGCGAGCGACGTGAAGTAGGTAAACCACTGCTCGTGATGGACTAATTAGACAGCAAATTACGATATTTACCTGCCTCTCCACGAGGTAGGATGCAGCACAAGGCCATAATTAATGTGGGGAAATCCGATCCAGTGGGTTCGGGCAAAAATTGCCCTTAGACCCTGCATACGCGGGATTGGGTATCTGTCTACCTCCCCGGACGAGACTCTGCCCTTCAGCAGAGCCTCGTCTGGGTTCCTCTCTGCGCGAAGGCAGAGAATTCGACACGGCAAGAGCTTCCCACGCTGACACCTCACGTACAATAGTGGCCAACGCATTTATGAGGATTGGAATATCCCATTAGTGTTCATAGGTACGTTATATAATAGCATTATGATATGAATAAAAAAACGGAAGATAGATAACGTTTGACCTTTGATTTGAAGAGGTTAACATTTTAGCGTTCACAGAAGGAACCACACTGGAGCTTGTTCCACAAATAGGCAGGTCTTGATGGAAAAAAAAAAAGTAGTTTTCTTTTCCGTGGAGAAGTATTTTCCGTATTTGACCTGAGTATTCTGATTGCTGATTTAACGAATACAAACGTCATTCGAAATAGTCAGCTGCTTACATGGACTCGAACCCTGCACGTATTTATCAGCATTATCAGTGCTGGAGTGTACATCAAGGCCAGCAGCTGTTGGTAGATGATATCGAAACGGACAGGACCAACTCGTTTGGAAGAATAGCATAACACAAGCTTATTAATGTTGCTATCCCCTGTGTTACGTAGCAACAGATTGAACATCGATGACTACTTCAATATGAGGTCTGAAACGTTGGCATACCCAAATCAGATGATCATTATCTATTTGGGACATTGTGCTAATTATGGCGGAGTTCAGAGGCTTTATAGAGTTGGGCGTTGATTGACTTCCCCACTCGGCTACGTTTCATACGTAGTAGTCCGAGGGATTCTGGTGTAGAGAGATGGGGTCTTATTTGATATAACGTAGTCTTGGAGATTGTAACTCATTCATTCTTTGGTCGTCTTCGCCTTATGAGACGGCGCTGTGTCTTGTTGCAGGTTTACGGCTTCCTTTTGCTCACGCTCCCTGTGCAAGGCCTCACAACCCTCTCGAACGCCACCTTATATTCAGTAGAATTGACCCTGATTGCACTAAGTAAAGCAGTAAGGAAACATGACATCTGCATCGTTACTCACAACTCCCAGAATCATCTGAGTTGCCAGAAACTTTGTGTGCCTGACGGTTGGGTCGCCCTTAGGGTCACTGCATAGCCATCTGACATTCCTGTGGTTGACCTTTTAGTCGTGATTTTTCAGATTCTTAATGTTCCAACTTGCCCAATAAGTGCTTTGCCTAGATCAGATTTGTTATCTTGTCTTTGTAGGCAAGAATTGGTCTTACCGAATGACTTATGCTTTATATAAAATTCTTCAAGAGAGTTGAAAAGAGGAGCTCTTTAACGTTGGCGGTAACTAACGTTGATAATTTTTTACCATTGATAATTTAATATCTACGATTGAAAATTTCATTATCCCATTGATAATTTCGTTTCTGTCATTGATAATTTTCTAAACTTTTCGTACATATTTACACCCTTGGGCAAATTAATTGAAACAAAACGAATAACTCCGTTATTAATTAATTTTTTTTCGTATTTTCTCAATGAAACATCACCCAGAGACATATTAGTACTTCGTATGTCAATTCCACAAAATCATTCCTTTCAGATTGACCACAGATTCTCGATTAGATTTATATCAGAAGAGTTTCCATACAAGTCGATAGTACTTTGATTTTGATCACTGCTAAGGCTTACCAGTATTTTCGTGCAGCGTTGCAATTTTCGTACGCTCTCTTGGAGTAACGCCCATCGCAGACGATGGCCACAGGACAACTAATCAACAGTCGAGACAATAGTGTCTGGGCGTGATGAAAATCTGATGCAATCATGGATGACGCAATATTTTTCAAGGCCAAACAAATTTCATCGTGGGCACCTAAAATCGATTCATATTACTGTACTCCACTGCAAATGACCTAATCTGGAGAAAAATAAAAATCGTTTACACCCTGTCACTCCAGTGGGTCTAACTGACTAAATAGTGAAAGAAGAGAAACTAAAGTGGTTGTTTCAATTAATTTGCAGAATGGTGTAGGTGTTTTGATTGTATTAGGACGCCTAATAGGAGGGTTTACATTTGACTACTAACGTAGAATCGCCGTCAGTGGTCTCTAGATATTTGCAAACAAAAAACGGCTGTGCAATTTTCAGGAAGCAATCTATAAATCACTACGCTATGCCTTTAAGCCAACGATTACAGGATGCATTTTCATTAACTGAGTTAGTTTGATGTTTGACATTATTTATCTGAAAAAAAAAATACAATAATCAGTACAAGTTAGAAAAAAAGTTAAAGCTTTCAAAGACCATGCCCTCAGCGGACTGAGCATCCCTGTAGAGTCGACTTGGTTGGTTGGTTGATTTTACTTAGCGGCATATCAACACGTTTATGGGTTATTTAATATCGAAATCGACATATTTTGTACGGAGTTTTATGCTTTCAACTATAGATATTTTTACCTACTTTTACACTTTCAGGCGAAACGTAGGTTTTTTTTTCTCGTTCTATACAGGGTGCATGTAAAATATTTTTACCCCTACCCAAAAGGAATGATAAAATAGAAGAACGAGTAATACAAAGCACGTGTACTGGATTCAGTTTATCCACTTTCATTAAGATCCTTTTAAAAAGACCTCCAATCGGTTGTGAATTGGGGCAGGAATTGCCTGGTTAACTTTAATGCCTCAAAAACTGCTCTCTATTACTCACCACAGATAACCATCCCTGCCTTCTATTAGAATGTTTGACGCTTACATTCTCGAGAGCTTCATTTTGCGACTATTCAGTCTCACACTGACTGCTGACCTAAGATGGAACAAATACATTGAGTCAAGAGCTTCGTCCACGGCAAAGAAAGTTGGCTCCCTGTGCCGCGCCAGGAAATTTTTGTCGCCGGAATCGATCCTTCAAATCTATAAATCAACCATTCGCCCCTGCATGGAGTATTGCTGCCATATATGGTCTGAAGACCCTTCTGTTTGTCTCAAGATTCTTGATAAAATCCAGAGACGTCTGCAGTCGCTCTCTCACAGACGTGCCGTCGCCTCCCTCTGTCTTTTTACAAATACTTTCATGGTAACTGCTCCGATGAGCTGCTTTCGCTGGTTCCCAGACTTCATGAATTTAAGCGTTCAACTAGTCTGGCATCTCGCTCACACCCTTTCACTGTTGAAACTATTAAATGTAGCCGTCTCTTATACTCCAATAGCTTCATGTCTCGCACTTCACGGCTGTGGAACTCCTTACCCTTTTCCTATTTCCTTGATAGCTATAATCTCCGACCATTCAAATGTAATGTCAATCGACGTCTCCAGATGCCTTAATCTATCCACTATCATCATCGTTTCCTCTATCACTCGTATTTGCTCTCGCTCCAAATCTTCTGTAATCCCTTGCGTGCTAGTGGCTTCCCACCTTGCTTGGGGCGAAACGCTTAAAAAAACGTATGTTAACGTTGTGGTTTTGGGAATTCCTAGCTCGGAAGACCGTTTTCGGAGTGACTTCTTGGATTATCGTAGCACAGATGCCGCCATCTCCGCACATGTGTCCCTTCGCATTGAAGGTCGTCCTGTCCACAGTTTATGTTCCCATCGCAGTTAACGTCCTCTTCGGAGGAGCTGGTTTGCCGAATCTTGCAATGAAGTCATCCTCCATGCTCTTGCCAGAATGTACACGATCATGTATCCATATACTTGCAAGAAGCCTCTCTTCTAAAATGTAGTCAGCCATCTGAAATAGAAGTTATATTATGTAGGGGTGAAAAGACTTTCGGGCAACCCTGTAGTCTGTAGATGATATAATGTATTCTTGGTGATTTAAAAAAGTGTATTGCTGGTAATTTAACTAAAAAAATACATTATTAATTTTTATAAAAATGTATTGCTTTTAATTTTACTATAAAAATGTATGTTTATACTTTTTAGTGTTTTATTGATTGTCGTTTTGCTTTAAATATTACTGCTGATTTTCCTATGAAAATGTATTGTTAATTTTTTATAAAAATGTATTACTGGTATTTTTACAATAAGAATGTGTTTTTATACTTTTCTAGTGTTTTGATATTCAGGGCTCACAATAGCTGGGTCCCTAAGAGGTGCTACAACCCCGGGTCAGAATGAACCTGGGAACAACTAATTTCACTACAAAATGTATTGCTGATAACTTCATCAGTGATCGTACAGGAATTCAACGTGATGTGACCATAAATCACTTACGGGTTAAATAACCTTATCAATCCGCAATTGACCAAACTTTTGCGTACAGCTATACCTCGAGTTCGTTCAGAGAAACTTCTCGCAAAGTGTGAGACGGCCTTGGATCTGTTCTAGTGAACGTTCATCTCTTTACCTTTTTTTTCTTCTAATCAGCTCTCCTATTTCCAATTGCGTGCCGCCATCCATTATACCACACTCGCTTCGAAGCTTACAGCACCTGGTATTCCAGAGTGGTCACCCATCTAGGTACTGACCAAGTTCGACATTGCTTAACTTCAGTGAACGTAGAGGAATTGGTGCTTCAATGTGATGTGACCATAAGTCACCCAGGTGTTAAATAGCGTCACCAACCTACAATTAACCAAACGGATGAGTACGGCTATACATCCTGGTCACTCAGTGAGAGTTTCCTCACAGGAGTAAGACGGCCCTGGATCTGTTCTAGTGAGCTTTCATCTCTTTACCTTTTGTTTATTCTAATCGGCTCTTCTATTTCCAATTGCGATCCGTTAACCATTATACCATCCGCATATCGAAGCTTACAGCACCTGGTATTCCCAAGCGGTCACCCATCTAGATATTGACCAGGCTTCTCGTTGTTTAAATTTGGTGATCTTTTGAGAACCAATGTTTCAACCTGATATGACCGCAAGAGAAGCTTCATTTTTATTATAGATCTGTGCAACTTATGCTTATAGTTCTTTTCATAATTAATTAAGAATTTTTCGCTTAAAGAAATACCTTGACAGTTCCTCTTTGGCATATCATAAGTTTCTGCATCAGTTCTTTGTTGGCATTATTAATCAAATATCTCGTATTATTAAGTTGAAGATGAATGGCAGGGGGTCACGTGGTTGTTGATTCCACGGTTGTTGAGGTCCGAATAGACACAGGAACAGTTCACAATCTCTTTCACACACACATACACACAAGCAGTCGCTCGCGCGAGCATACCAACACACAGGCACAGGCACACAAACAGGCACAGACACACACACACACACACACATATATATATATATATATATATATATATATATATATATATATATATATATATATATATATATATATATATATATATTTTTACACACACACACACACACAATCACACACATATATATATATTTACACACACACACACACACACACATATATATATATATATATATATATATATATATATATATATATATATATATATATATACAGACACACAAAACTCGCCTTTTGCCAAAAGTTCGATCTAATCATATTAAAATATGCCATCAAGTCTTCTGAAGAGTGAAGGCAAGTGTATAGATATAATAATTTTCATATATATATATATATATATATATATATATATATATATAAACCTAATGAGCCAGATCCTACCTACCAAACTTTCGCCTAACGGATCTTCAGGGTACTACTTATGTATTATTAAAATAATAATAATAATAATAATAATAATGATAATAATAATAATAATAATAATATATATATATATATATATATATATATATGCGCAGTACTTAGTAGAATCCTCAATGGGTATTAGTTTGTAACCCTGGGCATCACTTTTTTTTTATGAACATCTGGTTTATATATATATATATATATATATATATATATATATATATGTGGGGGTGAATTTTATCATATATATATATATATATATATATATATATATATATATATATGGATTTTAAAACTGAAAATTTTAGTCATGCCCTCCCCTGAGGAGTGAGTAACGTATCCGCAAAACACCGTGTTGGAACAGATAAGTTACACATTTCATTTCATTTGTTGCTATTAACTTTCTATCCCTCGCTTGTTAGAACTTCATTTACAAAAACTGCTTGACTTAAAACACCATAGTCTAGGAATAAACTGGTTATCAGATTTTTTATTTATTTACCAAACACTATCTTTGTTATATATATGCGTATTTTTTTTATATATATATTTGAGATATATTTGAGATATATGCAAATATATATATATATATATATATATATATATATATATATATATATATATATATATATATATGCGGGTCAACCCTAGCTGAGAACCGGGACTCGTGGAATCTCACCACTAACCATGCCGTCTCCTTCTTTGAGAATACCTGCAGGGTCGATCTCAGGGACAAGAAGTTGAAGTACTGCAACGCTATGCCATCGAGCTCAGCCCGGACTTTTAGCTGCAACTACTGCGACCTTGTATGTCTGTCCTGCATTGGACTTATCAGTCGAAAACGTACCTTCAAGCGACGTGTACAAACTCCCTCTTGATGTTCGTTTTGCGAAGCCAAGTATTAATGATGATAAACGCAGGTATTTTTTTCTGCGAAAAATTTCAAAGGTCGCACTAGACATGAAGTCGTCTTATACACAAGTACACACGGTACCAATGTTTCGCCCCTCTTTTTTTTTGCTCTATAAATACACAAACTTAGATGAGAACCGTGACACTTGGCGTCTCACCATTAACCCTGCTGTCTCCTTCTTTGAAAATACCTGCAGGGCCGCTCCCAGGGACAAGAGGCAGAGTAGGAAGCACTGCAATGCTATGCCATTGGGCTCAGGCCGGACTTTTAGCTTCAACTACTGCGACCGCTTATGCCTCACGTTGGATTTATCAGCCACAAACATGCTGGCAATCGACGTTAACAGACTCAATCTTCATCTTCGTTTCGCGAAACCAAGCCATGATGATATATTTGCAAGAAAGTGAAGGATTTTATTTTTAAATTAGCATTCTTACTTATTACGGTAAACTTTATCTTTTAGTGGATGCACGCATTTGTGGGGACGCCCTTTTTAAATTGGTGTAAATCGATATATCGGTCTGTGCAATCGAGAAATTTAACGAATATTTTGGAAGGAATATTGTTATTATTTTTAATTTATGTATCATTCTCGTCCTGGGTAAGACGATAAACTACATCCGCTTCTGGGCAAGACGATAAACTACATCCGACAGCCAGGCCTCTGATCAGGAGGTTTTGAGGGCAAATAGTTAACTCCCAAACTGGGGTCAAAACACATTGAAGGTATAAAAATAGGTTTTGACACCAGAAATACTTTTGTAAAAAAATTATTACCAGCAATACATTATTTCCAGTAATACATTTTTGCAAAAAACATATTGACAGAAAAAAAAAATTGACGGCATTAAATAGCCTATTGAGGTTGATATCCCATAAAACAAACCAAACCAAACGAATAGACAGACAATTAGACATAGATTTGCATTGTTTGAAAGCAGTATCTACCAATATATATATATATATATATATATATATATATATATATATATATATATATATATATATATATATATATATATATATATATATATTGTATTTAGGCAGCAATCATTCTTTCATGCAAGTTTCATTAAATATGACAGACAAGGTGCTTTGACTAAGATTTTTTCTCAGATGATCTTATAATTTTTTTTCTTTTCCGTAGATAAATTATCCAAAATCTTTACAAATGTTTCCAAGAGCTTTCGGCTATACATTTAGCCATTATCAAGGCTGAATTATATTTAGTGTTAACTGAAAATGGATTATTGTATATATGTATTTAGTATTATAGAACGTTTTATTTTCAAAACACAGTCGACATATTGTGTCCAAAGCACCATTCTGTCATATTTAATAAAGCTTCCATTATATATATATATATATATTTCGAACAACTGGTGGCCCCTTCAATCATCAGCGCTTCAAAGCCAAGACCCACCTCCGTACACAAATTATTCGTGATTGGTTGTTTGCTGATGATGATGCTCTTGTTTGTACATCCTTTGAGGAAGCCCAACATCTAATAAATCGTTTCTCTGCAGCATGTAAAGCATTTGGTCTTAAACTTAGCATAAAGAAAACTGAAGTAGTGCACCAAACTTGTCCTACTTACTCGGAAGTAATTCTGTGGTGAGAAACAAAAACCACCAGTTTACAAATTTCCAGAGAGACCATTGAAAGTAGAAGACAAAGCCCTGAACTATGTGAAGTCTTTCAACTATCTTGGTAGCAAAGTCAACTAGAGTGGAAGTTTAGATGGTGAAATCAAGCATCGGATTGCTAAGGCTACCAGTGCTTTCGGCAAACTTCGCCATCGCTTGTGGAGAGTTGAGTTAAAAGGAATTAACTGAGACACCCGGAAGAGGCACGGCACGTGGAATTACAATAATCTACCCCGGTGGACGAAATAAAGCGTTCAGTTCGGAATTCCAAACACCAGAACAAAGCCGGAGCGTACAACGGCTGAAACGTTGTGAATATGACAAAGAAGATGAGGATAACAATCCGAATAATGTAAATAATGTAAGTTATATATATATATATATATATATATATATATGTGTGTGTGTGTGTGTGTGTGTGTGTGTGTGTGTGTGTGTGTGTGTGTGTAAAATGTATGTATGAAAGTTAGCGTGGTTCGAATCTTTAAGGGATGTCCGATTTTTCAGGGTCTATTGCTTCTACCATCCATATGGTTTATACGTATAATATGGGAATATAAATCCCCATGACTGTAGGAAACATGACCGGTGCAGAGGCTGCACAAAAGTGCAACAATTTAAAATTACATTATTTACATCTATTACTATTCTAGGTCCACGTGCCATGTTTAATGGATGTCAGTTATGAGTTATCTCCTCTTAATTTCACTCTGAATGTTCTCCACTGCCTTAACCGGGTATTGAAATCACACTCTTTGGGCCCTGTCACTGGATCTAACTATCGCCTTTATTCACTGGGGAACTAGAACAGTCTACCCCAGTGAGCGAAATAAAGGGTTCAGTTCGACATTCCAACCACCTGAAGAAGGCCGGGGCGTATAACGGTCGAAACGTTGTAATAAATATGGCGACAAAGATGAGGACAATAGTCCGAATAATGTAAATAATGTACATAATACCTCATCTCAGAAATATAGACAGATATCCAAGGGCCGAAACGTTGTAATAAATATGGCGACAAAGATGAGGACAATAGTCCGAATAATGTAAATAATGTACATAATACCTCATCTCAGAAATATAGACAGATGTTCAGTTCGACATTCCAACCACCTGAAGAAGGCCGGAGCGTACAACGGCCGAAACGCTGTAATAAATATGGCGACAAAGATAAGGACAATAGTACGAATAATGTAAATAATGTACATAATACCTCATCTAAGAAATATAGACAGAATTTAGAATTAAAAAATTATTATTTTATTTACAAAAAGAATAACTAATCATAAGTATTACAAATTCCTTGAAAGCGATTTCAAAAGAAAACTAACTAAATATATAAATAGAATTATGAAACGG